ATCAAAACAAGCATCAGCTAAAGTTGGTAAACGTGAAGAACAAAAATCTAAAGATAAAAATCGTGGACGAAAACAAGATACAGCTGATGATGATATAGTTAATCGAAACGAATTATTACAAAAACCAAAAGAGTATCAAGTTCGATTTCGTTTTCCATCACCACCACCACTAAATCCGCCTGTATTAGGTGCATATGATGTTACATTTGGTTATGAAAATCGTGAAACACTTTTTGAAAAACTTAATTTTGGTGTTGATATGACTAGTCGAATTGCAATTGTTGGACCTAATGGTGTTGGTATGTAAATTTTCTTCATAAAAAATAGATTGAATGAAAAAAATAAAATTGAATATCTCAAATTCAGATTAACTTCGTGAGTTAGTAATAAACATTCAAAATTTTTTCTTTTTGCAATACATAGTTTCTTTCAAAAATCGATACTCAATATTTCAAAGATTGTAATCGATTGATTTTTAACTGAAGTCTCTACTATTTCTTCATCGATGTTACCCTACTCTGCAGTATAGGTGGGGGAACATTGTGATTTTAGGGTAGGCTCAATATTGTTTATAAGATCTACATTTTGAATTTAAAAATGAATGCATGCTATTTCGATGAAATACAGTTAGTGTTTCTTTTTTCGAATTCACATTTTGCAACGTATAGCAGATTCGAAAAAAATGTGCATTTGAAGAAATATACGAATATTTAAGTTCATTGAAATACGAACTTCACAAGAAGAGTTTCTGATCTATTCTATCGGAAAAAATATTTAATAGTTAAGTAGAAATGTTTTACCAAAAAAAAAAAGAAATGTTGCATTGTGAATTGGTTCATTGTTGAAAATGTTTGATAGATATGTAATCTTAGTCATCGAAGATTTCATCAGATTCCAGTTAATCAGGCTCAGATTGTTCTTTACTTATAGAAAATTTAATGTTTTCTCAAAAATATTTTTTTAAAATCTGTTCGATTAAGAAAATATAATAATTTTCTATTTATTTAGGTAAAAGTACATTTTTAAAGTTATTAATGAGTGTAATAGAACCAACTCGTGGTGAAATTCGTCGAAATCATCGTCTTCGTATTGGTCGTTTTGATCAACATGCTGGTGAACAATTCGATTTAGAATTATCAGCTGTTGAACATTTAAAACGATCATTTAATATGCCTGAACAAGATACAAGAAAATCTCTCGGAAGTGTTGGTTTACCTGGCCGTGCTCATACAATTAAAATGAAAGATTTATCTGGTGGACAAAAAGCTCGTGTTGCACTATCAGATTTAATAGCACGTGAACCTGATATATTAATTCTTGATGAACCAACAAATAATCTTGATATTGAATCAATTGATGCATTAGCTGAGGCAATTAATGATTTTAAAGGTGGTGTTATTATTGTTTCACACGATGAAAGATTAATACGTGAAACAAATTGTCAATTATGGGTTATTGAACACAAAAACATTAATGAAATCGATGGAGATTTTGATGATTATAGAAAAGAATTACTTGATTCGTTAGGTGAAGCTATTATTCATAATCCAAGTGCAGCAGCAACAGCAGCTTCGACTATTTAAATCTTTTTGTTTTTTTTCTATTCTAATCGTTGTATGTCTATTAGGCAAAATTAATCTATTTTCTCTTTTGCTAAATAAACACACAGCGCAGTTATTAAATATATATATATATATATATATCCATATATTTGCTGTAAACAAGTGTATCTCGGGATAGTGAATTGTCCTCAAGCTAATTTTTTATATGTTACATGTACATTAAGTTATTCTAGATAGCGTTAAAAAAGTCGGCGCTTAGAAGACTTTGTCAGAGCTATTTTTTTAATAATGCCATTTTAAAGAGCACAAAGTTCTGGAGAAAATGAGGGATCATTGCATTTTTTACCAACTTCCCTTAAAACGTTAAACGCAGCACAAAATTTTAAAAAAAAACCGGTTTTTAAGTCGATTTTTTGATAAATTTCGTTTTTTTAATGATACTTTTAACCTTTTAAGAGAAAGTCATAGAAAATGTAGCGACTCCTTATTTTGTTCAGAATTTTCTGCTCTTTCAAATGGCATTGTTAAAACATAGTTTCAACAAAGCCTTCTATAATCCGAAAATTACCGCATCCGATTATTTAGAAACCTTGTGATCATAGTTCATCTAGTATAGAATGCATTAGATAGAAAACTTTATTGTCTATTAAAATCACTAGCTCAATATAAACTAATTGCTTGATATTATAGAAAAAAAAATCAAAAATACATTATTGTCAAAACTTTTTTTACAACCTTAATCTTTTTGAGTTTTATTAGAAAAAATGAATGAAAACTTAATTGATTAATTCTTCGAATTTCTCAAATATTTTATTCAATCAAATTGTTATTATTCATCATATCATTGTTATTTAGGAATGAAATGGAAATCAATAAATACTTTTAAAGAAACTATTTTTCTTGTTCACATTTAATACGAACTTTGTTGTTGAATTGTCTTGTTAGTGAATAAGACTAGACATATTCGGATTAAACTAAAGTTTTCACCACCATACTAACAAATTTAACATATAGGCTACTCTTGGCATGTACGAACCGAAATATTCAACTTTTTACATTATATGTAAGATGCTCGCAATTCAAAATTTCAGCAGAGTTTTGTTTTTCGTGATAGTTGGATGGATCGCATCCAGAGCTGGGCAAGTACGGACTTTTTCGAGTACGAGTACATGATAGTCTGTTTCCCAAGATCTCGATACAGAAAGTTTAATTAGTAGTGTTAGAGATGATATATTAATTTTTAGATCGAAAAGTCGTTTAAGGCATGAATCAAAATGTTTTAAATCAATATTTTTTATTATCAAGTTTCAAAAAGTCAAATTACAACAAAACTTTATTACATTTAAGAAACGTAACCAAGCATACACTTTTTGAAGTTAAAGATGCACGATGTGGACACATTATAAAACCACTTTAAGAAAATACTATTTCAATTGGAGCTGACGTAGCCGGCGCTGACAAGTATTTCAGACCAAGTTCATATAAAGAAGGATAAAGATTTTTCTTGAGGAAAAGTAAATTACTTTCATCATTTTTTTCCCGATAGAAAAGCATCAAGCTCTACCCAAATTTTTTGTTTCTCATCAAAAGAAGTCTTTTTTATATCATTCAAATAAGGAAAAAGGCATTTTCTTTTTGGTATTGCATCGAAATGTTTTGTCAGCTTATCGTTAGCATCTTACTCAGGTACATTCGGCTCATCAGCTTCCTCTTCCTGTAACACAGAAAAGATCGATTTTGAGAAAAAACTAGCAAAAGAAGTGTGGATTTTTTTCTATAACACGCAACTTTACCACAACTTAAAGATTATCAAGCCATAATAATTTAAAACGTGCATCGAGAAGAGGTGCAATCAGAAAAATAGGATCGGAAAAACGTGCAGACATAGAATAAAAACCAAATGGCACATCATGATGTGACGTCTATGTATTTATCTAAATATATGTAAATGTATGTGTAAAAGAAAATGAAGAAATCACCTGCTCATTACATCATCGAAAAAAATATACTAAAATTTTATATAGCATTATTTTGGTATAATGCATACTTAAAATTTCGAGTACTCAGCCCTCGAGTACAGTTTTTCGCAGCTGGACTCGAACCGATACTGATCGGCATCCAGCAGATATTTTTACATTTACAATACGATTTTCAAACTTTCATTTTATATGGAAAAGTATGCTGTTTATTTTTTTTCTATGAACAGCAACCAAAAAAAAGAGAGATCATCTCAAATTCCATAAAAGAAGCAAGTGATGCGCAATTCACTTGGTGCCCTTCTGCTTTCAAAATCTGATCAATTTTTCTAAGTATACATTTGTTTGTTACTAAGAACGCTGGGAATGGAACGCATTATTGATGTCAAACGTCATAATTGTGAATATATACATGAATGTTTTTTCCATCGCGATAATACCTGTTCACCATTTTCATACTTCAATTTCTCTTCTATGTTTTGAATTACTTCGCCATATGGTCCATTATTATTTGAAGATGAATTATCATTAAGAGCGAATTCTCTTAGTAAAACAATATCGCTTTCCATTTCTGTGATCTGTTTTCAAATGAAATAAATTGCTTCGTTTATCACTCCAATGCTTATATATATAGCAGTTTGAAAAAGTAGAAATATTTTGAAACATCAAGATCTTGTTGATAGCTGGATTGGGTGTCGGATATAATCTCAAAGTCGGACTCGATCCGGTTTCAGCACACTAGTTCGATAAGAAGAAGCATGTTTCAAATCAAGAAAAATGTTTCAGATACCATCACTTCCAACTATGAAAGAAAAAAGATCCAAATTCCCGACTTCTGTAAAGAAAAAAAATTTTTCTAAATCTTGAGTGTCTGATCTATACTGAAGATATCTGAAAATTCGAATATCTCGGTCCAAACACGTCAAGAGCAGACTATATTTAACCTTCAAAAACTTTAAATTGACCCGAATATGTCAAGTCTTATTAAACAATAATACAAACAGCTCCGTTACTACGTAGTAGTTATCATCAATTAATATGATGTTCAATCAAATTTATTCAAATATGACAGATTAAGACCTTGTCATGTTACAATTATATTATTCATATAATTATCATGATGCCAGGAAAATCAATAACTGTAGCTACAGCTATTTTGTATTATAAAATGATATGAATGAATTAGTTCGATAAACAAAAAAGAAGATTTTGTAAATACTAGACAATGATTGAATAAATATTAATGTTCTAGTTCGTCTAGAAATATTCATTAATTTTATTTGCTAAGTATTTTTTTTCTATTAATTTTTTATTATTATTTTTCGAAATATACTAAAAATGAAATTAGAATATAAAAATAAAACAACAATCACACAACGCTTGTTTATACCTAATTAGTTCATAGATTTTAAATCATAAGATGAAATCAAGATTTGTTTTCTTTGTTTGAAAGACTAATAATTTATTTCGATTTTATTTTTTCATTTAATAAATTAAGTATTTGTCGTCCTATATTCCACATACAAGCAAATGGAAGCACAACCCAAATAAGACTTGGAATAATAAATAGAAATAAATATTCCCATGTTTCAATTTCAATAGGTAATTCTTGAGGATGTAATGGTCGTTCAAAATAATCATGTATAAAATATAATACTGTTTTTGACCATGTCATAACACTAACTATTAATAAAATAAGACAACCTAAATTACGTCGTCCATTAACATGATAAACTATAACAGATAATAATGTAAAAGTAATTTCAACATAGTTCATCCAACTTTGTGCAATAACAAATGCATTTTGTAAATTTCCATAAAGTGGATCAAGTGTTATATATTTTGCATAAGGAAAAAATATATGAAATAGATCACCATTTGCCATACTTCGAGGACGTACTATAACATACGTTGCATCCCATATACAAATCAATGAACCGATTATAGCCCAAGCTGTAGCCCAACGAGGCATAAAACATTGACTATATTGATTAAAACGAACATTTGATTTAGATTGCATGATTTATATTGTCAAATACAAAAATTCAAGGTGTTAACTTGTAGGAAGAATCTATATTGAATATACGAATATGGTGTGATGTTTATAAGTGAATGCAAAAATCAACGAATAGTAAACAATGTTTATTACGCACTTATGGATTGATATATCGGTATTTTTTATTTATATGTATAAGTTTTCAAAGTCAAAATATATGCTCTAGATGGTTGATATTATTATTTAAAACTAAACTGAATATTTCGAAAAAGGTCGTTGCTGGGTAACGTCTTCGTGAAGATTGATAAGAATACTGATATCATGTCGTTATATGCAATAAAACTTCTATATTTGGACACTTGTCAGTCCCTTTGAACTGCTTTTGCTGGAAATAAACTTTCTCAGGATTCGAAAAATTTACCGAGCTACAAAATCTTTTTTTTTATGTCGAAAATTAAGATTTTCTGGATTTTTCTGTTCCAAATTTTTGATATTCATTTTTTCCTTAGATAGAGCTGTGATTGGTAGATGTGCACTGAATAGACTAGTTTTAAATGAACGATTGAACAGGTTAATAGTTTAAAACTATTTACATACACATTTTGAAAAATACGTTAGACAATTATTTTTTAGAAAAATGGTAAATAGACACATAGTAAGTGCATGCTACCAGAGATGGGATCGATTCAATTTGCAGCTATTCAAATCGATCTCGGTTTCGGTTCGGTTTAGATTTTGAAAAACCTGAGTCGATCCCATCTCTGATAGTGTTCATTTATCTATTCATGAAGTGACGAACATTCATAATTTCTCTTCAGCAAGAGTTGTCTGACATCTATCTTGATTGAAAAGTATGCAAACGAAGTTTTATCACTGACTCTGTCAAAAAGAATTATTAAAATTGAAAATTTCCAACAGCTGATAAGAGAAGTTGCCTTCAACACACCTCCATACAATATGAACTTAAGAAAACCTAGGGAATAAACTTTAATAACTATTTCAAAACAACATATCGAAAAACCTCTCGAAAGTGGACACTTTGGAATGATTCCTTGAGTTTCCATTATAGAGAGGTTAAACTATATATACAAATTATCTTTTACCTCATATATGCACATTTAAAATAGAAGAACTGGTTCCCTTGAAGGCATTTTAAACGGTTACAGGAGACCGAGCCTAAGAAGTTTTCGGTCCGGAACCCTGCTAACCGATATAGAAAGCCTTATGTCTTTAACTAATTGCTACATTCAGTAGTGCTGAGCAGAACGCTATAACTATAACATGATCTAAGCTCATACTGCTTGACACTACGCCATCTTGCCGTGCAGTACGTCGTAATGAAAATGCATACTTGCTCAGTACTACGAAATGTAGCAACTAATTAAAGAAATAAAACTTTTTATAGAGATTAATATAGGCTCGGGCCAAAATTCCGGCCTCTCCATTTTTAAACATTAGAATTCACACACACAGAAAAATTTTCGTTTTTATTTGACAAAAGAATAAATAATTAATGGACACGTACAAATGCGTGTAGTCACTTAATTCTAATCTATTGACAGTTACATCACAGAGAAACAATTATACATGTATGTGATCAGAAGAAGTCAATGAAAAAAATGAAAGAAAGATTTCATCGTCATGAGATTTGTAAAAGAAGAAATATTTTGTTTTTATACATTATTTTTATTTTGTTCCGATGTTTGTTGTTCATCATTACTAACAATTGGAGTTGTTTGTGTTCGTCGAGGTGTTGTTGAATGACGATGATGATGATGATGATGACGATTACGTGGCCTTTGTGGAGGACTAAGATCCGACGGAGATACTGATCGTTGAATTTGAGAATTGAGTAACATTAAATTATTTAATGATGTTTGATACTGTGGATGATACGTATGAAGTACAGCTGAACCTATTTAAATCAAAAGAAAATAAAAATGATTTCATTTAAAAAAGAAAAATAAATTCAAAAGAATATTTACCAGAAGCAGCAACAGATTCATTAGTATTATTTTGTGTTATTGGACGGAATAAAGACACAATATTTGGTTGATTATCTAACAATAAAAAAAAAATTATTGATAAAAATTTATTTAAGGGAACTCGATTCTATCTCGATCAAAAAGTTTTAGATTTTTTTGTTTCAGTCCTATCTGCTAGACATATTTCAATAATTAATATATAACTATAAAAAGTCACAGAAGTACCACTGATTTTTGCCACGGTTCACAAAAAGACATACATGTTTTGAAGATACGCTCAGTATTGTGAATGGACAAAGAGATAAAAAGAAACTACAAATCTCAGGTACTCCAAACAGTGTCTAGTATCTGTAAGAAAAAAATGTTAACTTTGTTAGATATATTGCTGCTGAGACAGCAAGATGACTTTTAGACCTCGAATATTTCCTAGAAGGAAACATTTGGAAGTTTTGAATTTATGATATCTCTGATGAACTACTCTCAAGTATGGTTCTCTTAATTACCTATTGGATGTAAAAGTATATTTTGTTGATCATTATCAGTACGTTGTAAAAGATCAGCAAGTAAAAAATCTTCATTGCTATTAAATGATAATGTTTCATTCATATTAGTTTGATTATTTACTGGCAAAGTATCATTTTTCCATCTATCAAATGCATGTTGAACAATATCATCAATATCAGCTGATAGGACACTTAATGTTACAGGATCTGTTGTTATTATATCAGGTTTAGCAACTGCTGATGCTGTTTGTATTGTTGTTGAAGCAGTTGTCATATCATTTGATCTGGCAGCAGGTGAAGGAATAATAAGAGAATAACGGTGATGAAGATTTTGTTCAACAGGAGATGTAGATTGATCATTAAGAGTAAAGGTTGTTATATTACATGTTGAACCTTCTTCAACATCATTTTCAGTTAATCTATAAAAGAAAAAAAAATTATATGATATATTTAACAAGAATTTAATCATTAATCAGTTGATTTAAATAACTTTTGTTTAAATTATAATAAATTATTCTGCTAGTTCATTTGAACGATGATTTCTAAGTCTATATCTCCTGTTTTTTGCTAAAATCATGTGAATCGTTTTAAGAAGAGGATTATTAACGAGCAAAAAAAAGGCCTTATGACTAATATTGTTCAATTTGTGTTAGTCTATAATTACTTCAATTTCTTATGTACAGCACTAGTACGATCTATAGATGTGCGCGACCAAAATTTGAAGATTTCTTAGGATTAAGTTTATAAGAAAAAAGTTGTCCTAACCGGAACTAAAGATTATAGTTAAATATTCTATGTCATTCAAGATCATATCAATCAGAACATAATTCAAGAGAGATAACTCAAAAACCAAGTGCTAATCGTCAACTAAATAAATTTTAAAAGCAGTGTTGAAGAATTTTTTTTAGATGTGATTCGAATAAATTCTGGAATGGGTTTTTTCAAGACTAGAAGTGTGTAGAATAAGCTTTTCTCATACTCTGGAAAATCTCTATCCTTAGAGGTATAAGTCGATATACGGATCAGTGGAGGCGGCTGAAATTTTTCGAAGAATTTTTTTTCATAAAAATTTTCTTAATTTCAAGAAATTTCGAAATAAAAAAAGACAAAACAATAGTAGAGAACTTGTTGACAAGAAACCAGACAGTAATATCTTTAATTGACCCTGCATATCGCTAGTACTGTCTATTGTTTAATAATTAGTAGAGTCTTTAGTTTAAAAAAATTTGAAAATCATAAAATATAGCTTACGCATTTTCAACATCAATATCATTTTCATCATCATCATCATCATCTGAACTTAATTCTTCTGAATCCAACTGATACGATTGATCTGACTAAAAAATCATAAAACAATTTTTTCAATCTCAAAAGAAAATTATAAAATTTTTTTTATTACTTCGAGAGATGTATGCTCATCATCATCATCATCATCATCATCTTCATGATGGTTTCGTCTTGTTGTATCAACAGTATTTGTTTTTCCTGTAGTATCTCTTTGATGATCGACTATTGGACTAGTTGAAAGTATTTCTTCATTATCATTTTTTTCTGATGATGGTAAACTACGTCGTTTATTTGATATAAAATGAATTTTTTCGCGTAGAATTTTTATTTCATTATGTAAATAATGATTTTCATTTTCTAAATTTGTTATATACCATTGTTGATCACGACATTTTTGATGATATGTTGGTGGACGTACTTGAAAACGTAATATTAATATATCATTATCTGTATCCAAAAATCCTTCAGTTATTAAAGCATCAAGTAAAAAAAATCTATTATAACCCCAACATTCTCCAACTTCAAAATCTGATGCAAATTCTCGAACAATATTTTTTGATGGATCTTTACTTAATTGATGAATCATTTCAACACGATATTCATATTTAGATGGTTCATTTAAACCATTTGTTAATTCAAGAAATACAGATAAATATGTGCCACGTACAGTACCATTACCATCTGGATAAACTTTTAAACGCCATGTTAAACCATTTATATGTAATGGTTGACTATATATTGGATCAACATTGTGTCGAAGAATTGAAAAATTTGTTATAACAAATGTACTTGAATCATATTGAGGTACAATTTCACTAAAGAAAAATATTTTCTTGTTCCTGTTTTTTGTATTTAGAAATTTTAAAAAAATTTACCTAGGAAAATCACATGGAACAGTTGTTGTCACAAAACTTGTCATTGGTTTTCGATAAATCATTTGAATTGAACTAAGAAAATCTTCTTGTTTACCAATAACTTCAGCTTTACCACTTGTTGATACGCGATGTTCAATATCTTGTAGAACATGTTCAATTAATTCTGTTTCACGAGAAAATTGAAGACGTTGGACTATTAAAAGAAACAAACAAAGAATATATGATGATTTATCTTGTCGTATTCATATTTATTTGAATAACTTCAATACTATAAATCAAATCAAATACATATCATAACAAAATAAAAAACTCGATTATGTAACCATAACCTCTCCCGCTCTATTTTTGGACACTGAAGTGACCGGCCATTTGTA